AATGCAGGAGCTAGTTGCATGATATTAACACTTTTGAAGAAAAATAGTCAATTTCCAGGGACAATCATTCTTGTTTTAATTGTCCTTTGCTCTCTGTTCCTGACATGTGATTTTTTTATTTGGCAAGCCACAATTTCCCAGAACATCAGTTTCCTCATCTATAAACTGGAGACAACAACAGAGCAGTGGGTTGAAAGTCAGGAAATCTGGGTTGTAATCTCAAACCTGTTATTTACTAGCTGTGTGACTTTGGGTATATCACTGCCCCCCATCTCATTATCCCCACCTGTGAAACGAAGAGGTTGAGCTGAATGGTCCAGAAGATCCCCACCAACTCTGATAATTCTTGGTAACTATTGCTGGTGGAATTAACACACATTTGGAGTAGCTTGTCTCAGGCTCACCATAGCATCAGCAGTGCTATTGTGACTTCAAGATTGGGCTCTTGATAGCTCTTCAGAATGGCAGAGACTGCTAGAACAGTTTCTACGGTGGGTTCTTGCAAGTGCTCAAGACAACAGTTGGTAGAGGCCCTTTCCATGGGGCTTGGGAGCCCTCTTTCTAGGAGAAAACAGATTTCTAAGTTCCTCAGCTCCCTACCCACACACACCCATCTCTACCTCACCTCTGATGAAACCAAAGCTTTGTCACTTTACTAGCCACAGTGTGGGTCTGGGAAATGCCCCGAAATGATAAGGAGTGCTCATCCAACGCCCCTCGCACCAGACCAGGTGCACCCAGAAAGGCCACTGTGCTGGAAAGGAGGGGGGTTGCGAGCTTCCTCTCCGGGAAGCTGGAGGGTAGTCGGGGTCGTCAGGGCAGGCGCGAGTGGTAGGGAGCTCCTAGGTGCGTCCAGGGCAGCGAGGGAGGTGGGGCCGGAGGAGATGTGCGGCCCCTTTAAGACCCCAACGTTCGCCTAGCCAAAGGAAGGGGGGTGCAGTGGGGGCGCTGCGTGATGGGAAAGTCGCCGGCTGAGCCTCACACTTTCTCCTGATTTGTTAACTTTCGGGTCGGGGGAGCAGGAATAAAGCCATTGTGCCGGGGTGAAAAAGGGGGTGCGGGATTGCAGCTGCTGTGTACTTGCGGGACTTCCCGCCAGCGCCGAGCGGTCGGCCTCTCCAGCCAAGTGAGGAGCGGGCTGGCTGGCGGGCAGGTGGCCCTGGGCCGCCGCGCCCGCGCCTTGACTCTGCCCTCGGGAGCCAAGCGAGCTGCTGCTCAGTCGTGGTCTGAGGGCGGTGATTTTTTTCCTCCCACCCACTTTTGAGTCGTTCCCCCCCCCACCCCGCTCCTCGCGCGCACTCTAGCTCTCGCCACAACCTGCGAGCCCCAGACCTCGGAGGAGCGCCCGGGGGAGCTCGGAGCGCGTGCACGCGTGGCAGACGGAGGAGGCCAGTGCCCAGGTCAGTGAGCAGTGTCCTGCGCCCGCTCTCCCCACCCTTTTTCCCATCCCGTTGCACAGGTAGGGTGTTAACTGTTGGCCGAAGCCGCCTCTGGAGGTACCCCCAGGGCGCCCCGGACTTTCCCAACTTGCCACCCCAGCTATAGGGCCCAGCTGCCAGCGGCAGGGGCAAGGTGAGGGACCGGGAAAATTTGGGAGCTCTGGATTTGAACTCACCACTCGCCACTGGGCCTGCCTTTCTCCATATTCTGGCTCTTTTGGAGGCCACTTGGGTAGTCCTCTCTCAGCCAGCTAACAGGGCTCTGCAGTTCTCTTAATTACCGAGTGTGTCCCGAACCTGTTTTCTCACTTGCTTAAGTGCCCTGAACCCAAAACCAGGCCAAACCTGTTGCCTTCGAGTCGATTCTGACTCATAGCGACCCTATAGGACAGAGTAGAACTGCCCCATAGGGTTTTCTAGGCTGTAACCTTTATGGAAACAGACTGCCACATCTTTCTCCCGGAGTGGCTGGTGGGTTTCAACTGCCGACCTATCGGTTCGCAGCTGAGCGCTTAACTGCTGCGCCACCAGGGCTTGACAAGTAGTCACTTGAGTTCTCTGGGCCCCAGGGAACCTATTTTGAAGATGGAGTTGTGGGAATAAAATACAATGACAGATAGGAAAGTGTTCTGCAAGCCAAATGCAAGACATTGTTTGTCAATCATAATATAAGTAGCAATGAAGGCATTGACTCTTAACAACAGAGACCCAGAGCTGGAACTGCCGCTTTTCAGTGACAACCCACCACAAGTTAACTGAGCTTTTCTTGTTAGGGTAGAAGGGGAGAAGATTTCAGCTGATGGACAAGGGCCAGAGACTCCAGGGTCTTCTTATTGTTTGTCAGAAAGAGAATTGCTACCCTGGGGGCTATACCACAGATGATTGTGAATGTGAGATTACAAGGTCAGTCAAGCCTCTCCAGAGGATTAAAGGGACACTGTGGGGCGTGAAGAACTGGCTGACATGTGCTCATCCCTTAGCCTTCCTTTGGGGGATATCTGTTTGGCTCCATTCTACCCAGGAGATCTGCTTTGAGAGTGGACTCCTGACACCTTATGGCCCAGTTGCCTTGCAGTTACAGCTGATCAAGGAGCAGCTGGTCCCTTTGCTTGATGGAAATGAACAATATGAATGCTTGTTTCACGGAGGCATCTTAATAGATACCTTTCTTTTGATACTGACACGTTTCTAGTTCTTTTGTAAAGCCCACTCGGCCTCCCACCCTCGCAGTGCTAGTTGCAGGGTTTTGTTTTCTTTGTTGCTTTCTTGTTGGGTCCTAGATCTCTGCCCCACAAACATGTCAATGGCTGCATTTCTAAGTAAACTGTAACAGAGCCAGTGCAAATTCAGTGGCACAATAGCCCGTGTGAAGCAGACAGAGAGTTAATGCAGAAATAACTCCAGTTAACTGGGTCAAAGTATAATTTGAAAAATTAAGGACAGTTTAGCTCTTTGCAAGAATAAGAGTCGACATGTTTGCTGAGCGATGTTTGCTTGTGTTTACTGCTGCAGTCCCAACAAATGTCTTGAACCCCTCTCCCAAAAGGAACAACAATAAAAAAAAAGTTAAAGGGATTAAGGAGAAAGTGAATGGTAGGGAGACTTGGGAAGGGAACTCTTCTCGGTTTATAGTTCTGCACAGAATACAAAGGCAATACTTCAGGATCTTGTAAATCAAAAGTGAAAATTTATGGAGCGATTTGTTTTCTGATGTTCTCCGTCACAGCCTGGGAGGCCTCAAAGATGACAGGAATGCCAAACGAGATTAATTGCTCTCTAGTCACCAACTTTTCTATTTGCTCATAACATTAGTTGGGACCCAAGAAAAGCAAAAGAATTCTGAGAGCCATTTTCTTGCCAGTTTGAGTTATGAAGCATTGCTACTGTTCACCGAATCGCCCAACCATTGTACAAGAAAAACAACCCTGTTGGTTCTTGCATGGAGAGACCTGAAAAACTGTGGTTTCAAAAATACTCCCAGAGATCCATATGTGATTGTAATAAATTGGATTTCAGCGACTAAAAATCTTTCTCATTTGGAGGCTTGAAGGATAAGCTTATTAAAGTAGGCTCAAGAAGAACCTCACTGGGGTGGGTAGCTCTGTTAAACTCTTAATGAAAGTGATTCGTTTCAAGGGAACCTGGTAACTCTCAGGGGACAGAGACATTCTGAGTGACTGAAAGTGGACCACAAGTCCACAGAACTTGACCAAGAATTCAGAACCCAGGGCTTTGGAAGATTAGGAACATGTCCTAGGAGGAATATGGTCCTTGTTTAGGGAGCACGAAGGAGAGAGAGAAGGCACATGGATGTTTCAAATCCTTCCTGATAGCACAGGCTGTTCTCTATGATTAATTTCTCCTCAGTTAGATATTCATAATTTGAATTAATGGATTTTTAATTATTGGGATAACTTCCCATTATATAAGAAGGAGCTGTGACATCCACTTCAGAGCTCAGACATTTCAATTCTCCAGAACGATCGTTTTGCATTCCTTTGATTTCTTTATGCTCGATATTTAAGTTGGACCCTGTGAAAAGATCAATAAATTCAGTTGCCATTCAGGGTTAACCTGAGACTGAATGTGGAGTTTCTAGAATAAATATTTTCAAATCACCCATTTGAAGAGTTTTACAAACTCTAAAGTCTAATGGCTCATGACTGGATATAAGCTATATAGCAAACTTTCTGTGTTCTGAGGCTGAAAAAGTTAAGATTTCTACCCCTTAGACTAGAAATACACGTGTCAATTATTTTTAACAATTGTAGTTGCCTTGAAGATAGAATATATTTCCTAACCTGTGATCTTTTGCATGATGGTACAGTATGAACAAATTGCCTATTTAAATTTGCCTAAATTCCATGTAAAATGACCCATTTTAAATTTCCATTTCACCCTGGACTTCATGGTGGAGGAATATGTCTGAACCATACTAAGCAATAAAACTGTTTTCAGGTGTTTAATTGTATCTAGTGCTAATTACATCTGCCTTTCCTGACATAAGTAGCCACACGGGAGGTATTTATAGATCTCAAAGGAGACACAGGAGAAACATCCCTGAAAGTTTTGAAGTTAACATTAGTTAACTTTCATTTCAGAAACTGCCTGGGTCTCATGCCTATTACTAATACCTTATTTGCGAAAATAGCAGTTTTGCAAACCCCAGTTTCCCTTTTGTCCCAAAGATAATCTCTTGAGAAATCAACTTCCATTCCCTTAGGAAGGAGGATTTCAAAATTTATTTTTATTTTCTTATCACTTGCCTGTCATGACTTAGCCTTAGAGTTGGGTAGGAATGTATGTTCATTTGCTTGAATTTTCTCCCGTATAATCTTTGAAAGACAGGAGAGGCAAGTCCTCCTTCTTATGTGGGAAAACAATGCTTGTGCTTATGTAAATCCTCCAGCAATTTTTTCTGGCTGGTTAGAAGCCTAAGCATCAATGATCTCCATCAGTTCCAGAGTGTCTGTTTTAAGCCTTTTTTTTTTCTGCTTTCTTCCCAACAGCTTAAGTACACCAGGCCCTGAAGGTTCTAAGTTGCCTTTTGCAGTGGTCAAAATGAGAAAAAAGTGGAAGATGGGAGGCATGAAATACATCTTTTCCTGGTTGCTGTTCTTTCTTTTCCTAGAAGGAAGCAAAGCAGAGCAAGTACAACGTAAGTGTCTTAAGTTTTTAAAGAAGGATACTTATAATTTCTTTGAAAATGTGGTTATAATCTGTAGGGATTGTGATTTAGCCCAAATGTGGCCATACCGTTATTCTAAGAGAGGAAAGTGAATGTTACTGGTTTATGCATGAGTTGATAAAAGAATGAGAGCTTTGAATCGGGCCAACTGCATTTCAGGCTGTTTTTCTGATTATCATATAGTTTTCATCTCACAGAACACATGACACATTAGCCTATTTTCCCTTTCCTGTTCTAAACTTTACAAATCTCATTCCATTTTACGTAACTCTAGAAATATCTGACAGATGAGCTGGATTTTTTCCCAAATTTCAGACTCTTCAGCAAAGGTTTTCAGTTTATAAAAAAAAGAAGAAAGAAAAAAGTAAAGCAAGCTCTGCCGAGTCCCTTATGCCCTAAAACGTAGAAGGAAAAAAACCTTCACATAAACTAGATTCAGATGAAAAATCCTTAGAGAAAATTGAGATTCCAGGGACCGTTAGCAAACTGGATGCCATTGATTGAAAGGAACGTCCTTGCAAAGCCAGAGAATATTCTAGAAAGTCAGTGATCCGTGTGATGGGCTAACACATTGGAGAAAGCAGAGAGTGGCAGGAAGGGGGGATAATTAACCCTACTGCCGTCACATTTGGAAGATTTATGAGCTACCGTTGACATCTCTGCTCTTGTTAGGAGCTTTCTGCTGCCTTTGCACAGTATGGGCCTCACCTTCTTTGGGCCATTTGCAGCCACCTCTGAAGTGGACACTTGCTCTAAATTTGAAGGAAAATCCATAGCTCTAATTCCCCTTTTAGGTTGCATCAAAGAAGTACAAAATGGAACTGGTCCAAGGGGGACATTCTCTGCTCCACTGGACTTATTCATGAGAAGGAACTGTGAAAATATTCTTGGTAGGAGCTGACACAGCATCTGAAGCCCATCACTTAAACATTTATCTCCTTTATCAGCATAAGTTAAATGTATCAGGCATGAGGCTTGCTGACAGGGAGAACAATGCCAAGCCTATTTCATCGTTGTGTGCATTTCTGTCTCATTACCATTTTCATAGTAAATTTAGTCCTCTTCCTGGGAGAAATAGTGCTTTTGATTAGGTTTTTAAGCAGAGTGATCTATGGTGATATCTGTATGATTGGGACACAAGAGAAAATTTAGCAGGGTAAGATCTCAATCAGGAAGCTTGGTCAGCCTCTCCCCTTGTATTTCTCAGACTATCTCCTTCTCCTTCCACTTGAATATAGTCCATCTCAGAGCCCTCCTCTTCCAGAAGTCCTCCTTGATTTAAGTGGATGTGATAGAAATAAATACACCATGGCATATTTATGCAAATGAGAACTATGTAGGCATTAGGAAGAACATGGCGCTGTTAGTTTTTTATGTTCTGGACACATTATTGAGTAAAATCAAGTTAGAGAAAAAATTTTTATTCTCAGTTCAGCTCACAATCAGCTGTGCTTTAAAATCCCTCCTCTCTTAGAAAGAAACTCCCCTGATGGCTTGTTACTGATAGCATTGTGGGGAAGCTTGTAAGTCTTTGAAGACCATCTCTTCTTGGAAGCCTTCCATATTTATGAAGAATTGAGGACTACCACGCAGTTTACAGTTTACCTGACAAATCAAAGAAAGATGGACCTGAAATATTTATTGACCAAAATCTATTACTTTCTAACATTTCTTGTTGCCTAAGAATTTGTCCCAAGCCCTTGTAATAGTCAGTCATTGTCAAAGTGCTTATGTAACAGATGGCCCAGGACACCAGTTCTGGTCTAGTGCTTTAGGCTTACAGTCGGATGATGAGGCTAAAGTCATGGTCATTCTCTGAATGAGCCACCAGCATCATTCTGTATGTGACCACACCCGAGCTAACTGTCTTGGAGATGTTTACAAAGTCATCTCCACTAAAGGGGAAGTCTCAAAATATATACCATATATATGTTGCCTTGGTATATATTCATACACACACATAATGCATGCACAGAGATTTATATTACAGCTGTAACAGTGAGGAGTTAAACAGTGAAAATGTCAGTTCATAGGGAAATGGCTACATAAATGATCGATATAATGTCATGCTACCATTAAGAACACTACTTATTGAAAATTTGGTGATCCTGGAGAATGCTTATGCCAACTTATTTTAAAATTTCTTAAATTGCAAAATTAGTATATGTTCATTGTACGAAAGAAAATGAAAGTATCTAAGCTTCATACAGAGTTTATATCCCTCGACCCCTTCATCCCGCTCTCTGGTGATAACCATTATTAAAAGTTTGTTATGTGTTCTTCCATCCTGTTATAAAAATGTACATGCATGTTAGGGATTTTTTCTTACAAAAATGAGATGATATTATATATATTTTTTCTGTAACTTGATTTTACTCAATAATGTGTCTAGAACATAGATAACTAACAGCACCATGTTCCTTCTAATGCCTGCATACTTTTCATTTGCATAAATATACCACGGTGTATTTAACTAGTCCCTATTGGTAGATTTTGGAGCCCTGGTGGTGCAGTGGTTAAGCATTCAGCTGCTAACCAAAAGGTTGGCAGTTTGAATCCACCAGCCTCTCCTTGGAAACCCTATGGGGCAGTTCTACTCTGTCCTACAGAGTCACTATGAGGAACCAGCTCAACAGCAATGGGTTTGGGTTTGGTATTGGTAGATATTAAGGTTGCTTCTAGTTTTTGCTATTACTAGTAATATGTTAATGAACATCTTTAGGCACTTAGGCAAGTATTTGTGAGGAATTGTTAGGTCAAAGTGTATATTCAGTTTTAATCTTGATAAGTACTGCCAAATTACCCTTCATAAAGCTGTATCAATTTATACTCCCACTATCTGTGTATGAATGCACTTCTAATTCTTTCATCAAAAGTGTTATTAATCTTTGTATTTGGAGGCCAATTTAAGTAGGGATAAATGATATTTCAGTTTTGCTCTGATATTTTTCCATTACTGAAATGGAGCATCTTTTCAGTTCATTTGTATTTCTTCTTCAGTCAATTGCCTATTTTTCAGATTGGGTGCTTGTCTTATTGATTTGTAAAAGCTTATTATAATTAAGGTTACTGACCATTTGTATTTCAAATATTTTCTAAGTCTTCCATTTGCTTTAAACTTTGTTTAAGTTGTATTTTCCCATACAGATTTTTTAAAATTTTATTTTGTCATATCTGTCATTCATTTCCTTTATGGCTTCTGGATTTCTTGTTATTCCTAGGAAAGTCTTCCCCACTTCATAGTCTTACATTTTCTTCTCTTTCTTTCATAATTTTGGGTTTTACCCATAGTTCTTCATTCATATGAAATTTACATTCATATATGATGTGCAGTAGGTAACAAATTTTTTTTTCGTCTCTGTGTGGTAGGATTATGACTGTTATTTTTGTTCATCCTTATGCTTTTAAAATCTATTCCAAAGTTTCTATCATTGGCAAATATTACTTTTAGAACAGGGAAAAAGTAGTTTAAAGTAAAGAGACATTACATTTCTCATATTTTTTCTCTCTAATTCTAGAGACGTGGGACTGGATGAAGGAAAAAGGGGTGTTCTTTTTTTAATTAAACAAAACAAAACTGGGACAACTTTAGGAAAGTAAGTGTAAGTTTTCTCCCTACTGCCTGATGCCGTTTTACCCAAGGAAGCCGAGATTTTTGATCTTTGAGGGGCTGGTTAGACTATAAGCTTCTGGGTCAAGGATGGTGCTCTGTCACCTGTTTGCTCTCCTTTTGTGGGCATCAGTATGGAATGAGGGAACATACCGTTATGGTCAAAGGTACTCACTCAGTTGGTGAAGAAATATAAGGAGGTCTGGAAAAGATGCTTTAACTGTGGATAGCTCTTTTTGCAAGAAAAAGGTGGAGGTGGGTTCTGCCACTGGCTGGGAACTAATTAGCCATTGTTGCAGTTGCTATCACAAGAGGGAAGACAGGCTCAGGAAATACTGATGGAGTAATTAAGGTGCATTGCAATGGAATAATGAGCCATTTGTTGCTTATATAAAAGTTTGTTACTGTCCAGCATTAGTTAGCAAGGTTTGAGGTCTTTAGCTGGGAAAAGGTCTTTCTGTAACTCCATTATGCTGTTGTTAAAATTGTAGTCAAAAAGGCCAGGAAGCTCTTTTGAAGTTCAAAGGAGCGTAACATTCAGTGCATAATATTCATGCAAATATGGGACAAATGGGCTGAAGAGTTTGCTCCTTTTGGCAGATCTAACTTAGGTAATGAGCTATTGATCAAAGCGAGGTTGAAGAATTGAGTTGTTAGGGGTATTCAATTACGTGTTTCTAATGGACCAGCCTGTGCCAAGTCTGGCAAAGTTCTGGGGGAGAGAAACTGTTCATGTATTTCATGGAGTCCTCTCCTGCTTTATAAGGTGATTCGGCTGGATCTTCCAATGGGCTAGATTCTCACTTGTTTTTCTCACCAGGAGAAAAGCTTCCAGCATTCATGTTTGGCTCAAAACAGTGAGCCACCAAAAGATTGAAGGGAAGAAAGAAGATATTTAGAAAGCTTGAAACATGTGAAGAGTGGCCTTAGGGAGTCCACCCAGACCCTCTGCCTATTGCAAAAGCCAGTCAGCCAGAAAGGCATGAGTTTTCTTCTCCCAGATTCTCATTTGGAGATTTGAAGTGATTATTGGACAATGGGAAGAAGCAAGCAAAGAGTATACCTACTCACATCTTAGAAGTTTAGGTAGGTAGAGGTGAACAAAAGGAAGAATATCTTAAAATTAGATAGCCTCCTGTTTTTCAAAGTGAATTCTTATATATATTTTAAGCTGTGATTGGGGGACAGTGAGTGGTGCATTGACTCTGGAGTCAGCCTAGATTCAAACCCCAGATCCACTTACTTACATACCTTAGGAATGTTACTTAACCTCTCCAACTTTAGTTTTATTATCACTACAGTGGGGGAAATAATAGCATAATGACCATCAACATGATCACTTGAAGAATAAATGAGATCG